TTTATTTCTTTAACGCCTCAATTCAACTTGGGCGTAGAAGCTAAATAGAGACCACAATGAGCACTTCATTTGTTTAAACTTGAAGACCTAAATCGCCATCCATAGCATTATATTATTTTGACATTTATGTCCGGAACGACAGGCACAGGTAGTCTATATGTTTTGATAAGCAATATATGTTGTGATGGTAATGCGAATGAATGTTTCAGTTTATAATAATTTGAAGATAATGAAAATGTGACGTTCATTACAAAAATGGGTGAGTGCGTGAATAAAAACTTAAAGTCACATCGGCAGTATTTAAGCCATAAAAAACTGGGCTATCACAGTTATACATTGAAAACTAGCTTCGAAACTTAAAACAATATCACTATACATAACTATACTTTATCAAACGTACTGTAGATCATCAGGGACCATGGGGACCTACAATGCCTCTGCTGCAGGATGGTTTACACCATCCTCAAGATGCCATCGATTGTCCCCCGGCGATATGTTGCTAGAATATTGCTTAAAGCGTTGAGAAATCATACTTACTCACTATTACATCATGAAATATAAGAGATGTTATTCATTTCAAATATCGATCTTCAGCATATGTTTGTCTCTCCTATCAATGTTCTTGGTTGAACATTCATCAGTCTTTCACGGTTTATTTCTAGCTTATTCCTTGTTCTGAAAACTCAGTTGAGAGATTGTTTCCTTTTCTAGGACAATAATGTTTCGCAATCCACCATAAGCACCGGTTGGCAGATTATTTGTGGTGGAGACTTGGCCAAGTTTGTGACAGTTCATGATAACTAAACAAGCCAGGGATTTCGACATATACCTAGTCTTCATGTCAGTCCATTTTCTCGTATATGTCCTTGTTCCTGTCAACAAACAATCATCCATTCATTCACTTCAGAGTACTTGTATGTAAGATTGATGAAACATTCATATATGTGTGTGTTGGGTAAAGAAATGTACAGAACAGAAATTGCGAAATATAATAAATTGTCAACAAAGTACATTTGATTTTAAGAGACCATTTACAAATATATGACAATACTTATTTCAACTTAAGGATGCGAGATGCAGACATGGACAAAGTTGTTCAAGTGGTTCACTCCCAATAGTCAGACGTGCCAATCATGACACAGCTCTGTGAAGTGTGACCAGTATCACTGCCTAGTCTTACCTACTTAATAAATGAGTATCACCAAACGGCGAGCAGAGTATGATACTCAAACTCGTTGGGTGATACATATGAACCAGATTAGGATTGTGTTTATAAGTTGTGTTTGATCTGTACCCGGGTGCTTGTGTTCGATTAACAAATCTTTAGAGTAGTGTTTTCAATGATAAAGAACATGGGACTCAGTGTACATGAATAAAATCGTTTGACCTTTAATAGAGTATATTTTCCATTCTTATCAAGTGAATTAAATGCTAGAAAGAATAAGTGTTGAATGTGACCTCCACTGGCTACAATCACACTCTGGTAACGGAGCGGAAAGCTTACAAACTCATTCAGAAACAAATTCCCTTTGTAATGATTGATTTATTTGTTCACCTCTTACATCGAGTAAAGTTGAAATGGTGACAACGTTGAGGCTGCGACGTTTCCAGTTAAGCTACCGGTCTAGCTGCCACTTTAGCTGTTCAGTGTCTTCTAAACGGCATTTAAACAGCAAACTGCCGCTACAGGGTACATAATCTTTTTCTGGAAAGTTACTTTACATGAGGAAGGCCATACCCATGAAAGGAAGAATAAGCAAAAGAAATCAGAGGGTTACATAACGACTTATATAACTAGTTATGAAGAGGGCCACAATTGCGTGTTCGGTGTGACTACCACGGCAAGATTGGCAGTCACAGCAGTGTTTAGCATCATTGACACCGAATTTATACTGAATGCCGAGAATATTTCAGGGAGATGAAACACCCAAGTGGAGGCATACCGAAGGTCGTTTTTTGATTCACCACATTGGCACAAAGTGTAAAACCTATTAATGGGGTCTCCGAGATACGGCTTGAATAGTACAAAGAGCGGAATTAACCTACCTCACTCGCTAGAAAAAGTGTTTCTGTGTAGAAGCGCCAGATTGATTCTACTCTTACCGTAAGCAACTGTCCCCAGTGTGAACTAGATGTCAGGCGTTCCCGATATGTTTCGGAGGTCTAACTGTATTTAACATGAGTGAAACGTGCGTACGCGCGCTTGTGTGCCTGCGTGTCTCCTCGCTTGCGTGTGTGAGGTGGACCTTTTGGACCTTTTGGCTACAACTTCGGCCAAGAGGTGTCGAATTTACACTGAATTTATATTGTATGCCGAGAATATTTCAGGGAAATGAAACACCCTAGTGTAGTCACACCCAAGGCCCTGATTTGATTCCCCATGTGGACAAAAAGTGTGTAGCCTTTTTATGGGTTCCCCGAGATACTGCTGAAATAGTTCAAAAAGTGGAATTTTTCCAGCCTCACTCACAAGCAAAATTGTTTCTGTGTAGAAGTACCACATTCTACCCTTCCGTAACCAATGTTCTCTGCGATCAAGATGTCAAGCGTTCCCCATATGTGTTAGAGATGTAAGTGTATATAAGTTGCAGTGACATGAGTTACGCTTTGAACATTTTGGTAATCTTCAGGTTCGACAAACAGGTCTGTCCCATTATCATGAAAAGTACATCACTTTCGTACTTTGAAGGCTGTTGGGTTATATACATTGCTACGGGAACATCGGATTAGGTATGCTATGTCTTCCGTGTTTTATGAGAAATATGTTTTTTCAATTGTTATGTTTTCAACCAACATAGAAAACGTATTTAGATGTGTCCAGAATTAACCCTCGTTAAACTGATAATTCTGTTTGGCCTCTTACTTGCTCTAGTGTGTTATAGAATTAAGAATATCTGTTATGTGCATTAGATCTAGAGATTAATGTTTTCATCAAAACATAACTTGAATACTAGTAGTTGTTTTACACTGTTAACTTTATTCAAGACAAATATATACACAGTGTTTGGAAAGTTTCTGAGCAACAAAATGAGAGATTGTGGTTCCTGGGGTCGTCAGCCAGTGCAGATGGAAAGTACGAGACTCGTGATCATGCCTCCTGAACTATATACACACTGTTACTATGTTTGTAGATACATAATTGTAACGCTCCATTTTTAGTCATGGTCAGTAGTTCATACATTATATTCAATAAATATACGATACATGAACATCAATTTATCTTAACACCAAAGAACATTGTCATTCACCTCAATGTCAATCTCACAGAGAGCATTTGACTTCCCGCTTACGCCACGGGCACCCCATTTGCCAGAAACAAACATCCTGCCATAAATCTGTTCAGTTGTATTCTGCATTGCGGCATTCCAGTTGGTGTGGGGTCCAAGAGACTCTCCGTTTGTCCAGCGCCAAGCATCATCGATGTTAGCACGTTTAAGGCCGATCCATACAATCCTCTCTGTGGGTATGAAAACAGTCGTTCTGTTTATTTTTGATGTCATACCCATACTGGATTGTACATAGGAAGGGACATGCTTATGAAATCCAGGTCACGAGAACTAGTAACAATTGGATAATCAAATCGACTTTCTTCCCTTAGCTTGTCCGTAAGTGTAATGATTCACCCATACCGTAGGACAACGCCTAAACATGTTCTTATACGATGTTATTCTAACTGTACTTGCTGCAAAATGTAACTGTGCTTCATATAAAGTGGTGTAAATACACACACAATGACGTTATGTCATGTTGTTATTTTATTGAAAATAACATTGAAAATAACAACATAACATGGCAGTACAGCAATGTTATGGTACAATGCGTGGGTGGGCATTATCATGCTGCAGCAAGACGGTCCATCCCTGCATTTTCACAAAGGGAAGAACATGATTTCGAACGCCATTCAAATTGCCACCAACACTGATGAGTTGTGTTCTCGCATGAGTTGTGATTACACCTAATACCACTACACTTCCACCCCGAACTGACGACGTTGAGTAAAGCAAGCGTCGCCGTAACGTTCTCCCGGAGGCCTGAAGACCCTTTCTCGACCATCAGAGCTGTCCAGATGAACCTGGACTCATCTGTGAACAGTATACTGCCCCAGTCTTCTCTTCTCAACCCCAGATGATGTCTGCACAAAGCTGGGGGTGCCGACGTGGAAGCAAAATTGGGTGTATCGCTGGACGTCGGTGCTGGTTGTTGTACTCCCTCAACCGGTTGTGTACAGTTCTGACACTCATTGGTTGTAACCCAGGAATTGTCTGAGCTGTTAACGTGTCAGTTTGGTATCGATTCCATAGATGCACCAATCGAATATGGTTGCCTTGTTCACGTCACTTCACACGTGGACGACCGGCCCATGGCAAGTAGTCATGAGTGTTGCCCTGCTGTAGATGACATCACCAAAGAGACAATAATTGTGTTTCCATAAACATCAAATTGTCAGGCAACTTCTTGTTGTGCCATTCCTGTTTGCAGCATACTAACGTCGCGTAGACGTTTATTTTCAGCATGCCAAGGCATTGTGTAAGCGTCATTTACGGTTAAACAAAAGTGTTTTATGATCATCTGACAGCTAAACAATCATCATTGTGTGTGTATCATGCTCCCAACATACACACAAACATCCAAATTTTGCGTCCTGCATGAACATGCACCTGCATATTGTGAATCTCGACCTTAAACGGCGAGGAGATGTCTTCATGAATATGAATTGAAATTTGCATTTCGGAATACATGTATTTTTCAGGGTACTTTATATGAAGCACAGTTACTTTTTCCTTAAGTATATATTTCCGCCATCCCCTCTTTCAATGCGGACACTAAGTAGTGCTACACTTGCGAAAACTCCTCTGTGATCAGGGGTAGATGGGTGGATGGATAGTAGGTAGCATGAGGAAGAGAGAGAGATGGAAGAAAGGGATGGAGATTGGGTGAGTGACAGAGAAAGCGATACCGAAGATTGAGTCACATATGTATATCACATATATCAGGTGGTATTATGAGTTGCACTTACCATTTGCAACAATGGAAGCTTGTTTGTTGTCCTCCTCAGATCTTATGAAGGCGAGATGTCCTGAGTTCTCCATACACAGTTTCTTGGCGTCTGGAAAACGCATGCTTGAAGATGTAGGCTCCCTGAGACACTGGTTTGTGAAACGACTGTAGATGTAGGTGGCTGGACAAGCACCTGGAAGAAGACAGTTGGCACCGGCTGACTGTATGTCGGTGAAACCCATATGCTTTGGGAACACCTATCATTAGTTTATCTAAGCGACAATTAATTTAAAGAAAGCACATGAGAAACACATGAGAACACATTAGGCACACCATGAAATACGAAAATACTGTTATGAATTGTATGTTACATTTATTGAATGGTTAAACGAGGGCAAAACAGGATAATTATGTTGAGGAGCGGAGACGAGTTAACAAGCCCATTCAATTAGGATGTATATCGTGGGTCTGCCATTTATGCGTGCGCAAGATGCCCTCAACGATAAAAACCCTTTCCTGGGACAATGATTTTAGGTTTTACTGAGTAAAACAATGTTAAACCTCGTTCACATGCACAACATTTACTCATATAAGACTATACTTACGTGTAATCATGTGTCTTCACTCTGCGTTCACTTGAATATTCACTAATGTGTGTAAATAAGTAAATAATAGTGTAAGGCACACATATTCATCAGTCTGTTTACGACTTTCAACATGAAAATGTTGTTTTCCAATAAAAGTCATGTTGATTGACCTTACATATATCTCTGCATGAAGCAACATGTGTTTGATTTAATCTGTACACAAATCCTTTACTCCTTGAAACCCAAAGAAAACAATGCCCGCCCAACTCTGGATGTCTACATAAAGGTTGATCCTGCTTTATACTGAATAGCGCCAGACTTCAGTAACTTCAGAATACATAACTGTCCATAACATGTTTAGTGTTTAGTGTCAACAGATATATTAATAAGACCATCTTCTGACGTTGGCATAAACGTTCACAATACAATATATACATACAGTGCAAACTTACATTTACATTTGCACCTGCTCCAGACATGATGCAAATTTGCTCCTGGTGTAAATATTGTTACGTGTCTATTCACAAATTGAAACATTATGTAAACCCTGAAATTTATACGTAAAAATATTTTGTGTGAAACCAACCAACGAACAACAAATAGTGTAAATCAACAATTGTATTAAACAATTAATTATTCCATGGCAGTATAAAATGTGGGAGCAGTTGAAATGACAATAACAAGAATAGTAATAACCTCTCAGCCTCCGAGATAGCCTTGGCTGGACCCCAGTGCGAAAAAGGAAGAGTACCAGAGGCGACAACATGAAATTTTGGAGGGGTTGGAGGGTGTCATTAACAAGACAGATGACATTCTTATATACGGATCAGGAGACAAAGATAAAGAAGTACCGCCGTCATATAGCATTGGAGTGCGGCGTTAAACAACAAACAAACAAGATAAAGAAGCTGAAGCCAACACTGGCAAGAATCTTTGGAGGTTCAAGCTCAGGTGCCGTGAAGTCAATTTGAAGCTAAACCCAAAATATACATATCATTTTTTTGCAAAAGAGTGTGAGTTCGAAAAAGTCACAAGATCACCTCACCATGCATAAGCCACCGGAAAAGCTGAAGCCTGGGCTAAGAAATATTAATACAGTCTAGCCTGTTTGAGGGCTTACTCGAACACAGAAATACTCGCCAGCACAGAAGTTTATCTGCAAGCGCACTAGATTGATGCTGTCCACAGTGAAGTCACTAATGACACAATACGTCCCTCCTGTGCCAGAAAAACTGGCCAACAGACGTCTGAAGGCAAAGATGCAGATCACAAAACCACTACTTAAGAACAACACCTTTGAAGCAAGATGACTGTGTGTACACGAAGCTAAATGAAATGCACAGAGGTGAAGCGTGGAGCTATCGGCAGATGTTGAACAAGTGTTCACCTAGGTCGTATATGGTGGATGCAGGAGGCAGACACATACGATGCATATCAAATACACATCAGACTGGTGGCCCACCTACGCATGGTTCACCAGTGTATGATGAACACTATGGGCAGGCGTAGATGGCACCGTGTGAGCAGCCAGCCATTTCAGCCACTGCCTGTGACGATGACAAAGACACATGTTGTCCCTCCACTTGTCGAGCCTGCTGTGGTGTAGCATAAGCTGACCACCACGTCAGGCTGTGTTGTCAAGAAACCAGAAAAAGACGGTGAGTGATCTCATAAATGAGATTACCTCAATTTGGAAATTTGGTTTAATTAAACTGACGTCCAAAAGAAACTTTACCAGAGTTTGAAATCATTCTTGCTCAAAAAGAACAAAACATACATGCATGAAGTAAAGTGTATTGAGAAGATCAATATATAAACATAATCAACACTGAAAATGACAATCATACCGCGACCGAGAATGACGTCAGAGCCCCAAAAAGTTGGGTGTGGTACAAAACTCGAGCTTTCAGAATCATGGACAATAGGCAGAGTACATAAACAATCGCTCACGTTCAATAAAAAGTCATTAGTAGCGTGTGTGACCACCAAATGCCTCCATACACGCAAAAACTCTTCGACGCACAGAAAAAGTCAGTCGTCTGATGAGGTCACGTGGGATTTGACGCCATTCTTCTTGGAGGGCCAAGATCAGTTCTTGCCGGTTGGCTAGAGTGTGGTCGTTGTCGAACACAACGATCCATCAAGTCCCAGAGGTGTTCTATGGGGGACATGTCGGGTGAGCGTGCGGGCCACGGCAGGACGTTGACGTTGTTGGCTGCGAGGAAGTTAGTGACAATTCTGGCTGTATGGGCTCTAGCGTTGTCATGCTGATAAATGACACCACGTGGCTGCTGTTGGAGAAATGGTAGGACAACTGGACGAAGAATGTTATCCATGTAACGCTGAGCTGTCAAGTTTCCGTCAACGATGACCAGCGGTGTCCTCTCCTGCCCACAGATCCCTCCCCACACCATGACACTCCCTCCACCATATTGTACGCAGCCGTCCGTTCACCCCTTCGGCGGTAAACACGTTGTCTTCCATCAGCCCTAAACATACAGAATCGACATTCGTCAGTGAAGACAACCCTCTGCCAGTCACGTCGTTGCCAACGTCGTACAGTCCGGGCCCATCTCAATCGCAGACGACGATTTTTCGCTGTCAATAGCTGTCCTCTGTATGGTCTAAAAGCCCTGATTTCATGAGCCCTGAGTCTCCTGGCCACTGTCTGTCGACTAACCCTGTGACCTAAGGCATTTGTCGCCGATGACGTCACTGTCGGGAAGCGATTTCGGAGGTGCAAGGTACCCTGGGTCTGCCTGTTCTTGGCCTGTCATCGGTCCGCCCTGTCTGTCTGTAACGTTGCATCAAGTTGGTAACGGCAACACGGGAGCAACCGAAGGTTCGTGCAATATGGGCGTGGGTGGCTCCCAACTGTACCATACCCAAGGCTCGTTCACGTTGTTCGACTGTGAGTCGTTGCATTTCTTTTGTGTTTTTTATCACTGTGGATGTCTGACTTGCCGTTGCAATCGTTTTATACCCTTACCCGCACGTGCATTTGCAGTTGTCCGTGGTGCACGTGTTTTTCACTTTTTCGCGTATTGTCTCGCAAACATGTAACAGACGATTAACATTTTCTGCATACACTATTGCTGTATTTAGGTTATGTGTTTTAGATAGACTTCATTGGAAAAAAATTATACTTTGTCTGAAATTTATATTTTCTGTTGGTAAAATTTCTTTTGGACGTCAGTTTATATTAACCATTAACACCTGCTGAAGTTAAGCGAACTTAACCAAGAAATAAGGTGGAACTTAGCATGATTCCCACATGTGCCAAACAGGCATTGCAATTGTTTTCAGTATTTTTTTGTTTTTATTCTGTACTTATCTTTCCTTCTGTTCTTCTGTTTGTTTTAAATTCAGGAACTGTACTTTTAAAAAAAAGAAAAGAAAAGGGGGCATGTCATGGTATGTGGTAGCTACATACCCTATGGAACAGGTTAAACAGAAGTGACGTGGAAGCTCATGAAGTTAACCACGATGCTTTTTCATGTTGTGATCGTAAACTAGGATGTTAACACTTTAAAGGTCCATGAACAGTATGGCTAAAGACAAGGTCAAAGGGACTAAAACCGAGGGACTCCTGAACTGACACACTCATAAATTAATGTCTTAATCCCAATCCTTCTCAGTCTCAAAATAGTACGTCCTTCTTAATCATATTCTTAAGAGTCTGATGAAATCTCTTTTTAAGGCTCCTTAAGATTCAGGATGATATGCACCAGAATTAATCTGAGTTATGCCTAACTGATGCATAGCCTGTTGGAAAACACCTAACAAGAAATTAGAGCGGTGATCTGACTGAATAGTCAAAGGCAATCCAACTATAGTGACGCCTTCATAATAACATGAGCTGCAATTTTCCGTCAAGGAATAGCCTCTCAGGAAACTTGAGTAAGCATGTACTGATTTTTCCTGACTTTTAGGCAAAGGACTAACAATCATTGATATCTAAAAGAAAGCTCTGACGAAAATCCAGAAGTATCTTTAGAACCAACCGTAGTAGAACTTGACTTTTTGTCCACAAACTCTGAGCCAGACTTGTTAGAAGTAGATCAAGGATTGGATGAACTATCCTATACAGATTTGAAACTCTGTGACCTCCTGCCTGTTACCCCTGACTGATTCAAACTAACCGTATGAGTTAGCAAATAATCATCAGCCAAAGTAGCAGCCTTGTGTAACTGATCCACTTTCTGCTCACCATATGTCCAAATATCCGTTTACACACACTGCTTAAAATCCTACAGCAAAACCAACTCCTTCAGACTATAAAAATCACCACTGACCTCTTTTGAAGTACACCACCTATGAAACAGAGTTTCAACCGAAATTCTCTCTCCTTTTTCTTTCTGCTTCCATTTCTCTAATCCGAAATTTCTTTTTCCATAGCCATTTTTTCTCTTTCACATTCTAATCTCTTTAAAGCTAAAACCGGTTTTTTTCTTTAATCAAGACCTAAGCATCACCATCCAATATTTTGCTTCAACCAGATATATTATCAAAATTTTATTGACATCGGCCTTTGTTTGTAATCTTTGGCGTATTCGACAAGTTCAGACTTTTTGTGTTCAGAGACTTGTTTCATAAAAGGTTGGCTAACAAACTCCTCTACACTAAACAACAAAGTGATTGTTGTCTTCACACAATATCAGGCAATGAAAAGTTTATTAAAAAATTTGACAAATAATTTGCGGTATATTAAATTTCTATCACGGACGAGCCCCCAATTTATGTTATTGACCCAGAAATCTGTACGTAAAAGAATTTAGTGTGAAAGCACCCAACAAATGGTACACACAGTTGACTAGGTTTAGAAAAACCAAAATAAATTACTGAACAGCAATTACGTGGACAGTATACACTAGGTAGGTAGTACAATTTTTAATGGCATGTTCCTCTTATATAGTCTTGACCAGTCCAGTGTCACTTGAACATCACAGCGTATTCCACATGTTTCTCTGAGGCTTGATATACATCCATGCTCTTCCGGAAGTTTAATTATAATTCGAGCATCTAAATATAATAACTTCCTCACCACTGCTTTCATTTAATAGTCCTCCATTCCTGACAACTAACCATTGCCCAAATACAATGCAAGAAATTTCTGTTGACTCGCAAGAGAAACAATGTAATACAGATACAATTATTGTTTAACAATAGATTATACTGCCACATGACAATATGCATATGCGTTCAAATGACACTCATGTATGTATAGTTACACAAGTATGCAATTATACACACATATGTATTGGGGTTAAAATTAGAAAGCTTTGTGCGTGCCGAATTGACAGTGCAGGTGTTGTTTATAAAATTCATGATCTGATATACAGGATTACATCGAGAGTGGCAAACCTCCTTCCAAAACATAGATTTCTGAGTATGTTTGTACCTAAGGAGATAACGTTTTAATATACTGAACCGTAAAAGAAACGTCACCCCAAGTAACATTTCATGGGAAGTTGTCATTCAAATGTCTGGGTACCACATGCCAAGATTGACAAGAAATCAGCGACACAGAGGCCTTGGACGATTGCAAGCTAGACAAACCGCCGGGCAAGCTGCCAATGCATTTCAAGTCCACGTAAGGACCATATACAGGCTCCAGCAATGGTACCAGACCACCAATACTACAGATGACCGACCACGTAGTGGAAGACCAAGGGTCACCACCCGACGTCAGGATCGTCAGATTGTACGACAGCATCTTCAAGATCGCTTTGTTACTGCTGCGGAAACTGCTCGACAGACCATGGTGACACACCAGCGACACATTAGTACAATCCGTGTACCTTTCAATTGCTGACTGATTAGATTAAGACAAACCTCCGACTATTTATGTTCATTCAGATGTTGCGTTTCAAGAGACAAGGGAGAAATCATAGGTAGATGTGAGAAGCCTTATCAAGAAAGAATTTTCAGCCCTGGCAATAATGACAATAGTGTGACTTCAAATTCCTGTGACGTTTTAAATGAAAATCATAATAATTATGAATTGAAAGAATATTATCTTGGAAGGTAAATCACTTACTGTTCTTCAGAGCATAGTATTGAACACTACTCCGACCCTGGAGCTGGTGACTGGCAACATACACATACTTCTCCAGGTAGCACTCGCGAGTGATGACGTCATAGAAGAATGAGGAGCAGTTTGCACAGTTCAAACATGCTTGTGCACATTCTGGTTTGTTGGTGACCCCAGACTGGAACGGGCCCAGACTGGCTGCAATGTACCCAGTGAAGAACAAGGAGAATGTGAACATGGTGGTGTCCTGTGTTGCAACGACTCAACGTCCTTTTATACTGATAGTCTAAATGATAAACTACGTCACACAGCTTGATATTGACTAATTTGTTTATCCATTCTGTGACCGTCCATTTAAATGTATATCCGAAATAGGAAGTTGGCAAATATTTTGGAAAGCCAGAGTAAAACAGAGATGATGTTTCAATTGATCATGATTTATGTGCATGTATTATTGTTATATATTATCTAGGCAACATGACAATGTTCATGTTTTGACTTTATACAGCTGCATTAATGGCTTATATGATCTATAGACAAATGCTTAATTATACTGTATTCTCAAACTAGATACAATAAAAACACATTTAATTGCCTTTTAACGACTACTTTGAACCTCAAATTGGAACCCAAATAGAAACCAAAATGAGTACTTCGATTGCTTAAATTTGAGGACTTAAAGCATGATATTATTCTGACACTTATGTCAACCACAGACACATACGGTCAGTTGGTGCAGATGATGCTATATCTGTTGTGATGCCAGGGGTGATGTGTGTCTATTTATTATTATAGTCAGTTTATTACAATGTCAGGATATAAAAGGAAACTATTTTCATCACAAAAGAGCCAGGATGCACTTCAACAGCACATCATCATTCCACTGCACAAATGGGTCACACACAAGGTGATACCTTCTACATTATCTGTTATGTATGTTGTTTTATGTTGAAATCTTTGAGGCATTATTCACTTTAATTATCGATCATTCAGTATGTTTTTCTAACCAAATGATAATATTTGTTGAAAATTCATATATCTCTCACGGTTCATACCTTGTTCTCGGTGTTCTTGTAAAGAAGAAACATTCTGTGCAATCCGCCCTAAACTGCTGGTGGCAGATTTTTTATGATAAAGACCGTGCCAACGTTGTGAACAACTGATAATTCAAGCCATAGATTTGGACATAGTTTGATATACCTACATGTACAGTTACATGTCTTCACTTCAATATCCTTATTCCTGTCCACAAACAATTCATTCATTCAATAGCGTGTTTTTATGTAAGGTGGATGCCATATTCATATATGGTTCTTAGGTAAAAGAGGTTATAAAATATCGAGACATAATAATATGTACAAGTAATTCTAGTAGACCATTTGCAAATATATGACAATTTCAACTGATGTTAATGTTGTTGTGGAAAGGTATAATCTAAAATAAGATATAATCATCAACTTCCCTCGTCAAATTGTATGGAGGTCTAACAGAGTGGTGGGCACGGATGGCCCAGTCGTCTTAGGCGCCATAATTCTCTGTGCAGTGTGTATTTTTCATCCCTTGGGAACGCCAGAAACCTACGATCATGGGTAGGAATCCCAGTTCGCGTCGATTATGTTTCTAGGTTTACCAGCACCATATATGTGCTCTTGGGTTTCACAAAAGTGGTGAACGTCTGTAACTTGCATCACTCACCCTACAGTCTGTAATGGATAACATAAAATGTCAAAACTTCTCAACAGAGTATGAACTGAAACAGATTGCAATCAGATGAGGGGCGGGAGCAAATACATAAGGGAAAATTTGGGACATGTGGGTTTACGTGAAACGATACACACTGAGGGTTACGTATATGGTAATAACGGAATCACAATCTTGCACACTCTTTTAAACAATTGTGTTTCAAATAGTCAGTTATTGTAGACATTTACCACGTTGGTGAAACACGGATATGGTGATGTCCAACAAAGGATGATCATCAGGAAATATCAACACCTTTCCGTAATCATAAGAACTCTCTGCTCATCGTCTATTGCCCATGTCTATGAATCACTATAATTTGGTGTTAATACCAGGTGTTCGCGGAGAGGTGTCTACCATAAAACGTTTTGAAAGCTTTATAAAGGCCTTGAATGTTGTAACAATGTTTGAGCCACTTTTGATCAAGAGTCGTATGGCGCTCTTTGAAATTTCCGTAGAAAGAGTATGTTCGATCGTACCTAAAAATTGTGAAATGTAGACACCAAAGGCTAAAGTTGATGAAACATTGTTCGGCATTAAGGGACAGTCTTGTGGGAAGTTTTTTTGTCACTGTAAATATGTATACATAGATCTAAATATGCCTCGCCCAAACTCAACAATATTTCAATCTGGAAATAAACTTGATTTTGAATTGAAGCTTGAGTAATATCCTATAATTATTTCCTATCATTGATGAAACAAGACCAGGAAATATCCTTTTTTGAAATTCAATAGAGATTTGAATGATGTAACGATGAAACCCCTATTGAGCAAGAGCACCAAATGTAAACACCGCTAAAATATTGCTCGAAATGTAGGGACAGTTGACTACTGTCAAGTTGAAGTCATCCTTCTTGTCATACAGTTTTCTGGAGATTTTGTTGTCACTAGAACTTTATGCATAAATATAAATATGAAATTGGTCTCTTTCATTTCTAGTTCAGGTAGCTATAGGTTAAATCTGTTGACGGGAATTGTCAATTTGGCCGTTATTGAACGATATCAGATCTTCATGGCCAAATTGCCCTTCGACTCATATGCATATGGTGAGGTGAGATGAAATGGGGTTTAACGTCGCGTCCATGATTATTGCACTTGTATAACGACGTGCGTGCACATGTGTGTGTGTGTGTGTGTGTGTGTGTGTGTGTGTGTGTGTGTGGCTGCTTGTACTAGTCCGGACCGAGGCCGATTTAAAGCGCTAGCCGACTGAGATACCATGCCGCAGTTTAACATGAATACCCCACTCAGACACAGTACACCGACTCCGAGCAGACCAGTCCCTGTTATCGCCCCTTAATGCCGAGCGCCAGACAGGGTAACAACAGGTGCCATCTTTGAAAATCTGTTGGTATGACGCTCTCTGGGCGGACCTTCTTTCACTGGACAAAAGGCGACTATGCTTGTCCTAAGAGGCGACTAACGGGATCGGGTGGTCAGGCTCGCTGACTTGGTTGATGCATGTCATCGTATCCCAATTGCATGGATCGATGCTCACGATGCCAATCACTGGATTGTCTGGTCCAGACGCGATGATTAACAGACCGGGTGTTGCCTACCCATAATGGCTATGTTATTTGAGACCTTGTCAGTGGGAACAACCACAATTTTTCATGTACGGCAGCCAGACTTTAGATGACAGATGGCTGGGAAAGTATGGGTTCTTGGGGCATGGTTTCGGTCTCGCAATCTGTTGAAGACATGAAAGCCAGAAGACCCTACCACCGCATTACTTCTACAAGACAGCAACCGTGAAAGAAAATTGTGAGTGCGGCGTTAAACAACAAACCAACCAACCAACCAACCAACAATTCATTTTCGGCCCCTTCCTGAACAAACACCAATCGTCTCCAATGAATACCTGAAACACATCCTTGTAAAACTAACCTGTTTTGGCTACGTCTACTTACGTCTTGTTTTGTTTCCCCGCCCTCACTTCGCCACTCCATCTCCACACCCCAAGTATTCACTGGAACCGGAAGGGCTGCAATCTAAGAACGACGCTAGATGAACTGTGTTTAGGCGCTTCTCGCCCTTCTATTGTAGATTATTATTTATAGTCATTGATTTTATAGAGGCAAAACTACATCTGTCTTTTATTATTCAACAACGTTACCGATAATATGCTACCTTGTAGGACACTTTGATCCTATACACAAAGTAGAACTAACACACACCTGGAAATGTATGGTGCGGATTGTAATTCAGACATTACATATGGCAAGTGGCCCCTCCATCAGATCTCGCGAACATCGTTTTATAATGCCACTTTTCGAGGTGGTATGTTTTTCTTATACGAAAAATATATGAAACTGAGCGAAGTGCAATAGAATCCTATCCAAGGACAACATTACTTCTTTCGTGTTCCCGAAGTGTACATTAAATATATTGGTTGTAAATCTGAGTTAATCTCCTGTACTGAAATTAACAAAGGTACAAGTAATTACAAGTATTTATACATATGTTAAGGAGTGTTTCTGAACATAATTCAGGTAAATTTTCAAGGACGTGACAATGAATATAATTCAGTCTTGCAATACCCCAGAGCAGCATGTAGTTTCTTAATTGAAGGTAGGCCATTATAATCTTCACCATCATCAGAATGAACGAGACCCGTGAAGATCCGGGGTAGAATAGGACTTCAGCAACCCATGCTTTCCGTAAAAAGTGATTATGCTTGTCGTAAAAGGAGACTAACGGCATGGGGTGGTCAGGCTCGCTGACTTGGCTGATGCATGTCATCGATCCCAATTACGTCGATCGATGCTCATGATGTCGATCACTGGATTGTCTGGTCCAGATTCGATTATTTACAGATCGCCGTCATATAGCTGGAATATTGCTGAATGCGGCGTTAAACAACAAACCAACCAACCAACCAATCATATGAAGTCATAACTGGAACAGGTGTTGTTTTTCGTAACATTGTCGACTTTATTCACGACAAATACAGATACAATATTTGGAATGTCTTAGGTAGCCTCTGAACAGTGTTAAAGCTTTCTGAATCATATGTATCACTGCCGTGTCTGTAGAAACAGAATTGTAACGCTCCATCTTCAGTGACGGTATGTAGTTCAATCCCTATATTATATAATACATGAACATCTATATATCCTAACACCAAAGAGTGAGTTAGTTGGGTTTATCGCCGCTTTTAACAGTATTCCAGTTATATCACGGCGTGTCATCTTAATGTTGGAGGAAAGCCCGAAGTGATGCTGGTCTCAGACGTTTACCACATCGGTGAAACCCACGAGCACGGGTATGGTGCTGACAAACCTAGAAACACAGTCGGGGCAAACCGGGATTCGAACCCACAATCATAGGTTTCTGGCGTGCCCAAGGGACGAATTCTGCACAGCGAATCGCGGCGCCTAAGACGACCGGGCCACCCGTGCCCCCTAACACCAAAGACTTTAGTCCTTCTTCTCAATGTCAAACTCACAGAGAGTACGTAGTTTCAATCCGAAGGCCGAAGAACCCCACCTGCGACTA